CGTCTGATCATCTTTTATACTGGAAAGCAGGTACAGAACCATGTGAAAATATATACGTTTCTTTTTATCACATGCGGTCATTGCAAGAATATTTTGGAAAAGAAATCATCAATGATCAAACACACTTATTATCTTTTAAGGGTAACAAGATAAACCTAAAAAAATCATTGACTCTGAACAGGTATAGAATAACTTATCCAAGAATTCCAATATCGAAAAATATTCAACGAATGACCGCAGCACAAAAGTTCGAGTAAATTTAACAGAAACTATCAATAGTATGTCATCAATATCAAAGTCTCCAAATGACACATCAACATCAGTCTCCAAATAACAAAACCGAACACTGAGAAATGTCAAACGACAACCTGTGACGAGGTTCCAGCCGTGCGATAAGTTGCGGTCTTAAACTAGTTTTTTTTATCACCTCTCCCTTATTTATGTTGATCAGTGTACTAACAAAAGGTTTATCAAAGAACAGACATAAAGAATCATTACAATCATTGATAATAAAAACACAAGTACTAAACAAAACAATATTGATTATACCATCATCGAAGAATGCTCTTTATTACTGAAAGCAAGCTCAAAGTACTAAACTTGCTGATATGAAATGCTGCCATCCTACACTCTTATGTAGCTGGATATACTTTACAGTTGATTAAAAAATACACCAAGTTATTTTATTTGGAATTGATATATTTTTAAACATTTATAAAACAACATGTGGGGTACAAGCCAATGAGATAGCAGCCCGACGATATACAAAAATAGATCTTATCACAATTTGTCGAGCTCTGACTCTATTGCCTAGAGTCTAGAACAGTACTGAACAAATAACAGAAATATCCATATAACAAATTTCCTTCAAGGAAAAGAAACCCAAGTTTTTAATTTGAATAAAACTAAGGAGAAGCGGGATGAGTGCCAATGAGAAAACTATCCACCAGAAACAAACAGATGAGGATGTAGACAACTATGGGGTCACCGTACGGCAATCGACAGAGAGCAAAACCAATATCGTATAGTAAGCTATAAAGGCCCGTACATCACTTAATGTTAAACAATTCAAACGAGAAAACCAACGGCCTGATTTATGCTAAAACAACAAATTAAAAACAAGCATGACAGACAGCAATCAACAACAACCACTGAATTATAGGCTCTTGACTCGGGACAGTCAAAACAGAATATGGCGTAGCCTTTTTGCTATATATATATTTTTTTAATATATATTTGTTTTATATTTTATAAAAAGTATATATATATCCACGTATAACTTACCTGTCACAGCAAGTGAAGTTTTATCCAATTATAACTTTCCATCACTATAAACAGATTTAAATGTCAAATTTTCACATATCCATAATAAAAAGGATTAAATGATCATATGGTGATGATAGCCAGCATGAAAAAAAAAGTGTATTCCATAAACCTACTGGACTTGTGATTTTTCAACTTAAAATGGATAAGTTCGGATTTGTTTAAATTCCCTTAAATTTGAACACCCAATACTAAACAAATACAAATAATGGCACTTAAACTTTAGGATTTATTATGTAAATACGAAAATATAATTGAAGTAACTTTTAAACTGGAAATTTGAATTTTTGCTTTCTTTGTCACAAATCAGGACTTGTCACTTTGTGAAAAAAGTATTTTCTTATGTTGAAATTAATACATTAATTGGTATTGAGTATAAGTGGGCTTTTCAGTAAAGATTTGCCCTTTTAATTTACATGTGTATAAGTTTATTAAGCAAGATTTGTTTGCTTTACTGTAGTATTTACTTGTGATCTTTGTTTGATGGTTGGTTATGTTTAGGAGTATTTATTACGGTTTGAGAAAGGTCAAAGATTTTTAACCTTTATATAAAATGTGTCAAGTGAAAAATGATCTGGTTAAAAATAAGGGACAATATCAAATGTTAATTGATATAACATGCAGTTGGGGAAAATGTACTAAGTTCCTTTGTAATTCTAAAATCGATAGTCAAAATTTACAGGCTAAAGAAAATTCTCCTTAAATCAATTGATGCTGTCTAATTTCTGCCATCAGTGGCGGATCAAGGTGGCGTAGAGGGCGTATGCTCATCACGATTTATATGATTTTAAAGCATAAAATCGTCCAATTTTTGCATCGCTCGGCGGTAAATCTTAAGTTTTCTGCAATTATACCCCCTTTCAAAAATCATGGATCCGCTTTGTCCATGGTACACAACCCTAACGAAATAGACTTGATAGCGTAAGTATTTGAAAACGAACTACAAACAAGCTTCTCAAGTTTGAGAAATATCCCCTAATTGCAGTTGAAGGACGTAAAGCAACATCCTTGACTTTTGCTGTCACAGTGTAAATGTAAATTTTTGAATGTATCAAGTTAAGTTAAGACTCACCAATACTATCATGCGTTTATTCTTTCATTCTTGTATCTAGTGCCGTCTGAAACGAGAAAAAAAAATGTCGATCATTGAAATAAAATCTGGTCTCCCATTCTCTCTCATATAGCACTGCAGTCCATTAGTCAAATTAATGAGGGCATGAGGTGGACCGCCTTTGGGCTTTCAATGTTCATAAAACGTGCGACATTATATATTTTAGTAAACTATTCCCAGATAAAACATTACCAAGTAACCTATAATTTAAATATGCTGTAAAAATAAGAAAAAACTATCATAGATTAATTATCAACAGTTATAACGCCTTCAGTTCATATGATGTAAGCTTAATTGTTCATAAAGATAATAAACGGATTAATAAATAAACCGACAATTAGATTTTGGTTAAAGCAAGGATTTATATAGTATCTTACTATATAAATCCTTGGTTAAAGGTAAATATTATTGACTTTTTTACAATTCGTTAAAAAAATATACAAGGAGTGACATTCTAACCAAAATCCCTAACATACATTTTAAACTAAATCTAACAGTTACAAAAACACGTGATTTTACACAATGACCAGTCCATAACAGCCTATTTGGAATCGGACCTAGAGTTCCAGCAGGCCAAAAAAAGCCAGGGACATCATACTATCATTTTTGTATGTTTTATATGTATTTATCTACATTATACATATATGATTGATGATGACTGACCATGTGTTTCACATCAATATAACCAACAAGCTTATTATAAGCGACACTGGTTTTCATTTTCCATTAGGCAAGTATGTTGAACTGTTACAGTAGATGTCTTCTAAGTTTGTAAGTTTTGAGGTTGTTTTTTTTTTGTAGCTGTCTCATAGACATATACGCTTTTTCTCCTTCCTTTCACTACTCTGTTCAGTCCCAACTGGTTATACAGACCCTTGCATGTTAATGCTTTCCAGACTTTGGTTTTAAGCATTCCTAATATATCGATATGTTCATATTAGGCAATATATGTGATACTTAAGATTTCTTTCTTTTACTGTGAATATATATAGGTCTACATGTATACATGTAATTAGTTTATGCATGCATGTGTGTGTATATCTGGATATGATTACAGACTAAATAAGAAAAGAATCATGTCTTATTTCTTAAAAAAAACTTTACTCCCTTTGGGTTATTTCATAAAACAAATATGCACGTCTTTCAATAATTTAAGTGCAATTTATTATACCAAAAATTTAAAAGGCACATTCTAGAAGATAAATTTTAAGTAATTATCATTGACATATCGATATGTAATATGAATATCTTAAGTGGCTTATATTAATTTGAATGTTTGTCAAACAGCATATTTTACTTTTAAGGTTTGCATGGATGTATCAATACAAGATTAGCTTATTAAATTTAATAACACCCCACCATAAGAATTATCTTTCTTTTGCACTAATAATCTTATAGAAAAAAGGATTGAACATTCCACTGGAAGAAAGTATAAGTTTAATGGATTTAATAATGACTAAACATGTTTCATCTTTTGGAATTTATGAAGAACAATTCAAGATATTTTAATCATAAATGTGCACACTTTCAGACGGACTGCATTCTATCAGGTATGCTCAAAAGTTTTGAAGATTGAATGATAAACTTTTGAGGGTCTGGAACGGTTTACAGAATAGGGAATAATGGACTAATACTACAGAATAATGGGCCAACAGAGATTAAAAGATAATATTCAGCAATAACTTTGAACTTTGACATATACAATAAAAATGAAATACTAACTTTGATCAAACAGCAAACAAAGAATTGAGAATGGAAACAGGGAATGTAATCATGTTTATGGTAATACTGATAAAGAAACAGAGAATGTATTTCTGCAAATATCATTTGTTTGTTGCAAGAAGTTGATATTTTAGCCGAAGATACATGATTTTTTTTATTAGTTGTAATTTGCTTTAAACATTAAACTAGGGGTCAGTAACTGCGAGTACTCTCAGATCTGTACTTTGTTTCTATTTTGTTGTTAGGACTTTAAGTTGTTGTTGTGGGGAATTGTTTTTTCTGCTTTGTATTGATCTTATGAGTTAAGCCCTTTTCAACTGATTCTTATAGTTTGTTCTTATGGTGTACTGTTACACCACTGTCCCAGATTAGGGGAAGGTATGGTGCCAACAAACATATTTAACCCCACCGCATTCTGTATGTGCTAGTAATTCAGTGGTTGTCATTTGTTGCTGTTTATCAAATTTGTTTTTCGTTTGTTTTGTACATAAATCAGGCTGTTAGTTTTTTTCTTGTTTGAGTTGTTTTATTTTTGTCATTTCGGGGCCTTTTACAGCTAACTATGTGGTATGGGTATTGCTCATTATTGAAGGCCATACAGTGACCTATAGTTGTTAACTTCTACCTCATTTGGTCTCTGGTAGAGAGTTGTCTCATTGGCAATCATACACCATCTTCCTATCTTTATGATAAGTTAGTTCAGTAATTGTTTTCTGTCAACTTGTGGTTTTTGATTGTCTCCTAGGTTGTTTTTTTCAACAACTCTCCTTTTTGATAATTTTGTATGAATGCACAAATTATGTGTACGATAAAAAGATAATGAATTTGAATCAAACAAAATCTTTGAATGGATTTTTTATTATGAAAATAGAAATATAAAAAGCACCATAAACAACAACAATTAACAAGTTCAGGCATTATAAATACATCTATATATAACACTCAGGCACTTTATATCACAAAGAGTACTTTTTATAACAGCAAAAAACATATTTGTGCAATAAATAAAAGTACATGATTATGACAACTTCATTTATTTTAAAGGCCAAAACTAGACTTAGTATGTAAAGTTTGCATGTTTAAACATGAGTCAGGATATATAATAAACAGTTTATAACTTTTATAACTGTACAGAAACAAACTGTATAGTAAAAATCAGCACTTTTTATGTGAGGTTACATTTTTAGAATGAATTTTAACAAGAGCTCACACACTGAAATGTCTTGGCTGCTTTACTGATCATAATTGATTTACGTTGAAAGTCCTCTTTGATAAAACTTTTGCAACAATCATCACATAACTCAATATAATCAATGATCCTTGTGAATAAGGTCGAGAACAGATGAACCTTGTGAGAAGGACAAATACAACTCATAATCAATCCAAATACCATACATAGTCAACGTATTGTTTATAGTATCTGAGAAATGGACCAAACCATGAAATCTTAACATTGACAAATGATCCATTTCTAAGATACTTTAAGCAATAGGTTAATTTTATTTGAACGGATTGTAAGGTGTACATGTCTGACTGGCAGGTTTCAGCTGTCCCTGACTTCTTTAACCTTGACCAATGATCCATGAAATCTGGTGAACCCTATCTGACAGACATGTAAACCTTGTAAGGATCCCATATACCAAATATTGTTATTTCATAATTCAAAATAAGTGAGAAAATCACATGACAAAAAACTTAAGTTTTTTTAAAAACATTCAGGAACCATTAAAAATGGGATCAAGCAAGATGGACACAAGACAGCTGTCACAGGCAAGACAAAAAAAAGCTGCTGATAAAGTTTATCAAAAGTCAAAAGATTGTAAATTTTATCAAACATTCTAACTAGTTTCATCCCTATAGTATTTACTCCCACAGTTTTAAATACATTTTGAACTAAGGAAGATATATAAAATGATACTTTGACTTTCCAATTACACAAATTTTTCATAAGATATAAAAAAAAATTTTAACAATGAATAAACGATTAACAAAATTATAAAACATGTAACACTATGAGGAATGTAAAAGATAATATCATTTTGACTTGTTCCTTAAAAACCTTTTTTTCAAAAATGGTTTACATGGATAATACTGATATAAGTCTTTTTTGTGAGTTCTCTAAAAAGGCCAACAGGGATCAGGACAATACTGGAGCCAGGTCTCCAGGGTACCAGCATCTACCTGCATCAGTGCTGTGTATGTTGTAAGCTGTAATTGAGAGTTAAATTCTGTTTAACAACAAGAAATGGCAATTAAAATTATTCACTCTCAAATGAAAGAAGCATTACTTGTTGCACAGAATAATAATAAATTGATCAGAAAAAGGTTTAATTTTTTTTTTGTATAATTTTTTAAGCAAAGGTTTCAAAGCTTCATGCCTGTCACTATCATCAAAATATTTTTCTGTCTAAAACATAATTATAATGTTTTTAAATCACTGGTCTATTGCCATTGGGACGATCAAACAACAAATTCCTCCAGCTATAATAAAAATTTAATAGAACTAGCTATCTAGAACCTAAATATCCTAAATAATTATTAATTAAGACGTCAGATTTTTTTCTTCAGACTTGGCTTTATTTGATGATGTGTGATGGTTTATTTTCATATTGCAATAAGACATTTAAAACAATTTAAAATTTTACCTTATTAAGTACAGGTTTTGAAGAAAGGACATCAAAAATCCCTGGCCACCCAACATTCTGAAATAAAATGGAAATATCTTCAAAAGAGAAAGCATTACATAAGTTAAATTTATTTTTTTTATTTAAATGTCACAGACTTGCATATCTTGATTTTTACAGATTCATTAGTTTGCAAATGCATCTTAATAAATATGCAAAAAAAAAATTTCGGCTGCAAAGTGCAAAGATAGTTTGAAGCATTTTTATTCATGCAAAATCAATAATTTGAAAAGCCAGATTTTCCAGTGTTGAAAAATAAAAGGTCATTCTTCAACATAAAAATATCTGAAACCTGAAATCTAATAATGTTAAGTATAATATTATAAAATATTTTTCAATAATATGTCTGTCTCTATCTTGAAATAAAGAAATGTTATACTGAATGACAAGTGGTGTGTGATTTCCTAATAATCTATTAAAAATTTTCAATTTATGCAAAAAAATAAATGATTTTGACAACAAATTGCACAGTAAATATTCAAGTCAAATCAAACACATTTTATGACTTCATATAATATTAGTTATGGTTTTATGAGAGTAATATATTGCTTCTCATGTTTTCAACTTTTCATAAGTTTGTGTGACTCCTCTGGCTTTTTCCCAGGCTTATCATTAATAAAAGGTATGCCTTGAAGCCCCTATATTTCTCAATTTAGGGTGTTCACTACTCTTGTTTTTGACCTTTTGGCAGATATTCAGAATCCTCTGGTTTTATCCATGTAGTGCCAATAAAAATTTTGCTCATTAAACACTACTTTTCTTTTTTATAATTTTATTACATATGGTTTAAAAAGCCATATAAAATCTTTATTTTTTCATAGTTTTAAAAGAAAAAAGGTGCCATTTTTAAAATCTATAGAAAATCATTTTCCGCCAAATTTTCAATTGCTTGTATCTCAAAAACAAGGAAACAGACCTTTCATTTTTTATCTGCTTTTTTAGTTCGGTTATTTAAATACTATAAACTTATAACAGTCTTTTCAAAAGCTTATCATTTTGAAACAGAGTAGCCAACATCCTTAAAAAAGAAACCTCTTAAACATACTTCTATAAATGTTTACTTCCATACTCCTAACAACAAAATTATTATATTTAAATTTACCTGTGTACGTTATTTTATTTAACACCATTTTGTCCCAGGTTAGAGTTGTCTTTTTGACACTGTCCCTACATCTTTTTTATTAATATTGTATTTATGTTGTGTCATAGATCAAACTTATTCATTCAGTGTATGTTTACTTGTTTTTGTTTAAATGTCTTTTTGATCGAGTTAAGCCATTTCAGTTAATATTTTATAGTGTGTATTCTATGTTGTAATGTTACACTACTGTCTCAGGTTAGGATGTAGGTTGGCGCCTGTTAAAACGTTTAAACCTGCTGCATTTTTATGCAACTGTCCTAAGTCAGGAGTCTGTTGTTCAGTGGTTGTCATTTATTGGTGTGGTTCATTTTTCTCGTTTTTTATATAGATAGGACGTTGGTTTTCCTGTTTGAATTGTTTTACACTAGTCAATTTGGGGCCCTTTATAGCTTGCTGGTCCATGTGAGCCAAGGCTCCTTGTTGAAGGCCGTACTTTGACCTATAATTGTTTACTTTTTATACATTGTGACTTGGATGGAGAGTTGTCTCATTGGCACTCATACCACATCTTCTTATTTATATTCTAGTAAAATATTTCGAAATTGTGGATATGTTTGCACATCCCAGTTGGGTTTTTTTTTGGTTTGATTATTGTTTTGGTCAATAGAAAGCTGAAATTCTAAAAACTCAGACATGATTATTTCATAATTTTGATTTTAACAAACATGATCATGTAATTTTTTAGATTGGAGACCATGCATAAAATATTTATTGCTTACATTTTGAGTCATGTTATGCATACATCTATTAGCAGGTGTTCTCCTGTCATCGACAAACAATGGGTTTTTCCAATGATCATAATTTGTCTCTAAGATGTACCATTTCCCAGCATCTGCCATATTCCAAACATCTACAGCCTTGTCCCTATCCCTTGTTATCACACAGCCCTAAAATTGACCAAACTTATTTCTTTTGATTTTGAAACTTAATTTAAATCAAAGTGATGGAAATCACTCATGGAAAGATTAGAAGAGTAGTTTGAATAATTTCTAATTATATAATTTAAGTATGGTGTGGACAAAAAAAAGAACATTAATAGAGAAGGAAAAGCACTTTTTCAGTAGATAAAATTAGCTAAATTAGATAAAAATTGCCTGAAACTTTGCTGCTCACAGCCACGCCAAATTGAAACTGAAGTGAACGCACTTTGCTTCAAACAATTTCTTAATTATTCATGTAACTGGTCACCATGAGAGCCACCTTTCCATTGGTTTCAGTCAGTCTCCTGACCAAATATGGGCTGACGTCCAAGAGGAAGACATGCCCCAGCTGTAATTCAACACCACATTGGCCTGTTGTGGAGTTACAATTAATCAGTACCCCATAGGATGCACATGTCTGATAGTATTTCTATTTTGATTAATATCAGATCCTGAACTGTATTGAGCTACTAGTTCAGAGCCTGGTGAGGAAACCTTGGAAATGTATTCAATGCTTGAATAAATAATCAAAGACAGGTTTGGGCTAAGTAATCCACAGTTTAATTATAAATTCCAATTAGATGCAAACATATAATTGGAAATACATAGATCAGCAAAACTGTGGTACTCCAAAATTTGCCCAAACCTGTATAGAAGTAGTGTGTTGGAGATGTTAAGAAGATGTGGTGAAGGCCGCAATAAAAGCCTGCATTACCTGATTACGGTATGTTAGAGATGGGTCTATATATGACTTGTATGCATCGCTACACCAGTCCCCATGAGCTTGTATGACCTCACTAGGGAGGCTACATTCCAAAGTAAAGGAAGCCTCACCCCTGTGAAAACTATGACCCGAATATTGGTTGCAATCAAAACCCAGATGATGCAAAGCCTGTCTTAAGTGACTTAAAAAAGGCTGGATATGTCAGTGGGATTACTAAACTTTTGTGTAAATAGATAAAAGCAGAGGAAAGGGTTGTGGTCTGAGGGACCAGATTATGCAACAATAACAATGCACCGGCAGGACAAAATGGGGAATCCTTTATGGGGGGAAGGGGGATCTCTAGTACCCTTTGTGCATACTGAATTGTCTTGGTTTTGTGGATTCTCAGAATAACACCTTGTGGTTGGAAAATAATATCCTGTCTACTCAAATGAACCTTGGGATAAAATTGTGAGGGAGAAGTGACTAAAAGGTTGGATTTTCTTAGAAATGAGAAAAAAAAAAACCAGCAGCCCAGAAGGCCAAGTCCCCAGGACAAGAGAGGTTTATTGTGGTAAAAATGTGAATCGATGGTGTGATGGGTAATTTCCTTCGCAGAATCATTAATAGCTTTTTGTGTCTTAAGCAAGACTGGCACAAAATACACATCCAAGTTGAACTCTTAGCAGATATTACTTGGTGGCATGATTTTATGGCTTCCTTTAACAGGAAATCCCTAATTTTAGATAAAGTACCCATCACATCACCATCAGTGATAACAGATGCTTATAGAGAAGGAGGGGGCTGCCTCTCTGATTTAGACTGGTTCTATGTCAATTGGAACCAATACTTTCCTGCTTGTTTTAATTTTCATATTAATGAACTTGAGGCTTTTTCGGTTATCTTAGCTGCTAAACAATGGGCTAGTACTTGGGAAAATAAGAGAGTCATAGTTCTTTGTGATAATATGACCACTGTAGCCTGCATAAATAAATGTACATCTCGTAACCAGATTTTAATGGGGTTTTTAAGAGAACTATTCTTTAAAGCTGTTCATAGCCCAGGTTTTAGCAATGTTGCAATAATGGTCATAAAACATAATACTGTAAACAAACCTATTTCATGTATACTTTTTGCATATTGAGCTCTTTCCAACCAACTTGAAAACCATTTGATATTTCATGATTTTCTATTTTTTATTGCACATTTATTCATATAGGACCAATTTTTCATTGACATGACTTGCTTACATTCGCCTTATTTTTTTCATATTGTTAACTTCACAAAAATAAATTAGTTTACATTTCTTTCATTCATAATGATGAAGAAATCTAAAATACATAAAAAACAAAGAGTCAATAGCATATTCATATATATATTCATAAGTAACAATGACCAAATAAAGCATAAACTGAAGGTTCAAATCAAACTTACCTGTCCAGTTGAATTTCCACCAACAATGAAATAAGCTGGGGCTAACATCTGTGTCATGGTTAAATTTTTCTTTGCTTCTTCATAATTGTTTGAATACAGAAGGGTGTCTCTGGTTAAAAATCCCATCCACTGTCCTGTTCTTATTCCAAGTATCCATTCAATTATTCCTTAATGAAACAAAAAATTGAGATATAAATTAAACACTATTCTAAAACTGACAATGTCATACAGTTAATAAGTTCAGTGGTCTTGAGGTAGAGTGCTCAATTTGAGAGCAGGATAGTGTGAGTGTGAAACTTGGCCAGATAGAACCAAAGACTTGAAAATTGGTCTTTGCTGTTCTTTCTCAAATAATGTGGCAGTAAGGAGTACGAGCAAAGGCTGGTAGCCTCAGTGTATGAAAAATGTCAGGGTACAGTGACATGTGTCCTGCAGACTAACCTTGTGAACTAAAATCTTAACAAGGAAGACAGCCAACTGGGTTTTCTGTATTTTGAAAGGTGCTTTTAAGCTTTTTTTACCTGCATATTCTATGCCTATTTTTCACAAAATAAAATGAAATTTTCAAATAGATCAAGGACCCTAACTCCTGATAGGCAAAAATGAAAATTCTCAAAACCAAACTGAACCACCATTATGTCATCAGAAAAAGTATATCAAAATGTTTAGAGGACTGGTTAAACAGTTCATAAGGAGTTGTACAAAAATGACATTAAGTGCTATTTTCAATCTATCAAGGACCATAACTCCTGAACAGTAAACGTGAAAATTGCCAAAATATAACTTGATTTCCATTTTGTCATCAGTAGCAACATATTATAATTTGAAAACCATTTGTTGAAGGGTTCATGAGTTCTTGAACACAAACAACTTTAAATGCCATTTTCCAATATATCAAGGACAATAACTCCTGAACAGTACGAATAAAAATCATCTATATCCAACTTGACCTCTAATTTTTAACTTGCATCAACATATTAGAATTTGAAAAGCATTGGTTGAACAGTTCATTAGTTATTGCACGGAAACTGTTGCTAATCCTAGGCCTGATGCACATCACCAATTTAGATGTAAGTTTTGGAAATACTTAGTGTATTATAGTTAGGATAGATAAAGTAACTGTTGCCATGTTCTCATAAGTAGAGAAAATATGAAAAAAAAGAAATAGGTCACATTCATGAAAATTTAAAAATGGGATTTAAAGCCAGATTCACATTATGACTTGTAACTTTTAAATATCATTTAAAATGAGGAGGGAAAAGACTATTCAGGAAATATTTCTTACCGATAAAACCTCCATTCAAATCAAATCTCTCATTCATCGACAATGTAAACACACCCTGAAACACAGAATAGAGAATTCAAGAGGTAAAAGGTTTGTTTAAATTGTAATTATTAACTAAATGTAATGCAATACCTTAGCAACTTAATATGAAGACTAGTAAATTAAGAATTTAGATAAGGAATTTTTTCTGATATCTTTTAAAATTAAAAATATATATCGATAAGAAAAAAAAGCTTCACGATTTTGGATAATAACTGATCTTTATGAATACATTTGTTGTTTTATAACACTGCAACTGATTCATGACTTTATAGCAAGGGAAATAATTTTAGTGGTCACCAATTTGCTAATGCAAGTAAGATGTATATTATCCAACCTAAATCCTGAACAATTACCATCATTTTTATTTTTGGCCTTATCATCAATAATTACAGTGTTTTCACATACATTGAGTTTTGTATGCTTTTCCTATAAACCAAAAATAACTTTTTAAATATGTTGTCTATTACCTTGTTTTGGCTCCAATATTTTTAAGTTTTTGTAGTTATAAAATCAGACATTTAATTTTTTTTTTGTACTGTACCTGTATAAAAATTATTTGTTAAAGTCAGATATATGTAATGTTCATTCATGTTTATATTTATGTATGTATTGGAGAAGACATTACTAAGTTGAAAAACTTGTGTCTCATCCATTTGTCCTTTTTGAACAATAAAATATGTTTAAACCAATGATTACATACCATGAAATGAAGAATGTCAGTATATGGGTGAAGGATCAAAATTGTATCAGTGCTTCAGTAAAAATTTAAGTTTTTTTGCCTCACTGTGACTTTGAGATGAAGAACAGCAATAAAAAGCGCTATTCCTTTGCTTTTTGTGTGTTTTTTGCATGTACTGATTTTGTGTCATGGATGGATACCCCATATCCTTTGTTTTTCTATTATGAAATTTCCTTCATTTGGCATGTTTAGTTCAAACATCTAGTCAGAGTCTTTCAGAATACCTGTAGCTTGTTCCAATTACAATTACCTAACTTATAAAAAAATTTCTTATCATTGGTAGTTAATTAAGTGATAATTTAACAGAAAACTTTCAAAAGCTTTTATGAGTCAAAAATATTTTCAGAATTGTGAAAACATTTTGGCAGATTTTGAGACCTCAATTTGGAGCAAAGGAAGGTGTTATTTACTAACTGCATGTTCAGATATATACTTACTGGTTTAATTGCAGTTAAGACACCAATATAACCAGCATAATGTACAGCCTTAAACACGGTCTTCCCATCTCTCTGGTAATCAACATTCAGTATCATAGGTCGTAGCGCCTCAGTTATCTCCCATGTGTTGTTTTTCATGTCCCATCTATATTGCAACAAATATATAAAAAATTTAGATAGAAACATAGAAAAACTATGTTTGACATAATTATTTATTATGAAACTTAGCAACTTTAAATGTGGTTCAATGTAATCTTTAAAATACCCCATGCTGTTTACAACCATCTACAATATATACTGGTCAGTTAGTACTGTTATATGCTTCAATTAAATTTTATTTACAACTCAAACAATCAGGAAACCCACAAAAGTGTTCTTTTTAATGCTTAATTTTAAAGAAAAAATGTGACACAATTATGTATTTTCATCTGTTGATTTTTAAGTAACAATGGTCGTACAGAATTCATGGCTATATTTTGAATAAAGTGTTTTAACAAATGCTTGTGTTAGGCAAGATATAATATGAGCTATTGTTTACAAATAAAACCCCTATTTACACATTCAATGAAGAGCAAAATGGCCTGTAAATGATTACCATGAAATTATAATCTGATTGACTGATTAATGTTAGCTTAACCGCCAGTGGCAAACATTTCATGAATCATAATTTAAGGAAATATATAAATTTATCAAAAATAAGCTTACTGAGTTATTAGACATACATTATGTCAGTATATTTCATTTTTATCAGTAAACATTGACTTACAAGGCTGCTTGAGAATATTGCTTATTTCACGAAACACATTCACAACGACCTGATGATTCTTGGTTTCTGAGACGGAATTAATAAGTATAATCATGATTTCTTAGAAAAAATTCTAAAATAACAAAAAAAACAAAACTGAAGTAATGTTTATGGCAAGCTGTTTTACTATTTATTCTAACTTTAAGATATCTCATATATTACATCAGATATCTTATATAATCTAGTTTTTATAAGATATCTTATAAACTTTATAAGATATCTTATAAACTTTTTAAGATATCTCATAAAGTTTATAAGATATCTTATAAAAACTAGCTTATATAAGATATATAGTTTATAAGGTATCTCATTTAATTTTTAAGATATCTCATATAATTTATATGATATCTTATAAAGAAAATTATATGAGATATATTATAAATTATATGTGATATCTTATAAAGTTTATTACATATCTTGAAGTTAAAAGAAATAGTAAAACGGCTTGCCATAAATGTCTACTTTATTAATTGAATTAGAAAAACCTATACTTACCCTAAAAATAATCCAAAATCTAGATTTCTGGCATGAAACAGTTTTCCTAAAGAAGAAGAAACATTTGTTTAATACCAAGTAGTAAATAATGCATCAAAATATTAGCTCAATGCATAAAATGTCTAGGGGAAGATTTGTATTAACCATATCTCAACACTATTCTATGAACTGACATTATTTCAATCACTTCTAAATAGACCTTATAGCTATTTGGGAATATATGCATAACTTGACAAACTGATTTTGGACAATGGAACTATTGACATCATACGATAATCATTTTTCTTTTTGTGACATGAAAATTTTATGCAAAAGGCTGTGATGTCTAGTAATGACAGACAAATAACAATAAGGTCTATACTGCTTGCTTGGTGAAGAAACAGCAAATACCAATTTCAAAGTCTTTCATTAGAAATCACATGAGTTGTCACATGGTCTTTAAACACAATTATTGTTCTTTTGAAATTTATTTGTAATCCCTAGTATTTTTTTTTCTGCAAGTTTATGCATAATGAAGAAAGAATGTAGGTTAGAAGGTATTGTGAAGAAATTCTGTCACAAAATATTCCAAACAATATTGACATAAGGAGATGTGGTATGATTGCCAAACCAATGCGAGTCCAAATAACGTGGATGTTAGCAGCTATAGGTAGCTGTAAATCCTTAGACATTTAAATATATAACATTTTGCAAATACATTTATAAAATCAAAGCACGAAAGCGCTGTAAAGGCAGTTAATTACAGGTTGTGTGTATTTTAAGTCCAGTTATATCATTATCTTGCATAGTACAGTGTACTTATCAGAGGTGGCTTTCAGTATTTAAGATTTAGAGTTCTCTAATGATATTGAATAAGTTTTATGAATGTCATATTCTGAGCACTATATGAAGGCGATTGTTCTCACTTGTTTATGAACTAGTGCATTATGTCCAGTTTGTACCTTTTTTATCTATGTTTATAGTCAAATTAGTTATCAAAGGTACCAGGATTATAATTTAATACGCCAGACGTGTGTTTCGTCTACATAAGACTCATCAGTGACGTTCAGATCAAAATAGTAACAAAGCCAAACAAGTACAAAGTTGAAGAGCATTGAGGACCCAAAATTCCAAAAAGTTGTGCCAAATACGGCTAAGGAAATCTATTCCTTGGATAAGAAAATCCTTAGTTTTTTCATTGGCAATCATAACACATCTCCTTATTTATATAATGATCTATATTCAACGACCTCAGGTACCAAAAAAATGTATGTAACTAAACTATGATGGGAAACCTTTGACTTCTTTCTTTATATAAACTTTTGATTTGGTACCATAGAACTATGTAGAGTAAATGTACATTGCAACATGTCAACTCTTTCAACTCCAAGCAAAATTATATTTCCAAGCATAAAGTAATTTATGAATGAAATAAAATGCTCCGCTGGGGCACAGCTTGATACGACCGCAGAGGTCGAACCCTGAACAGTTGGGGCAAGTATGAACACAACATTCAAGCTTGATTCAGCACTGAATTTGGATTGTAATTAAATATTTGACACAGCATAGGTTTCTGACACAGAATGAAAGTGGTCTAAGATACTTAAAAAAATTTAATTTACCTATTCAAACCATATCATTATTATTTGCTTTTATATATAAATCAGAAATAACCAATTTAAAATGGAAAATTTAAAGAAAAAAAAGGAAAAAGAATCCCCCCCAAATTTTTTGAACCCCCTTATGATTCATCACCCCAAAACTCAATTCCAGCCTTCCCTTTGTGGTATGGTACCTTGCAGTACAATTTCAGAGAGATCCATACACTTGAACACATGTTATTGTCTGGAAACTAGAAAAATGCTTGTTTTTGGCCCCTTTTTGGTCCCAAATTCCTAAACGTTTAGGGCAATTACCCCCAAACTCAAACCCAGCTTTCCCTTTGTAATATGGAACCTTGTAGTACAATTTCATAAAGATCCATACACTTACACACAAGTTATTGCCATGAAACTAGAAAAATGCTTGTTTTTTGCCCCTTTTTGGCCCCTAATTCCTAAAATTTGGAGGCAATTACCCCCAAAATCAATCCCAGCATACCCTTTGTGATATGGAACCATGTGATACAATGTATGAGAGATCCATAGACTTACACACAAGTTATTGTCATGAAACTAGAAAAATGCTTGTTTTTTGCCCCTTTTTGGCCCCTTATTCCTAAAATTTGGAGGCAATTACCCCCAAAATCAATCCCAGCATTCCCTTTGAGGTATGGTACCTTGCAGTACAATTTCAGAAAGATCCATACACTTGAACACAAGTTATTGTCTGGAAACTAGAAAAATGCTTATTTTTGGCCCCTTTTTCCTAAACTTTTTGGGCAATTACCCCCAAACTCAATTCCAGCTTTCCCTTTGTGATATGGAACCTTGTAGTACAATTTCATAAAGATCCATACACTTACACACAAGTTATTGCCATGAAACTAGAAAAATGCTTGTTTTTTGCCCCTTTTTGGCCCATAATTCCTAAAATTTGGAGGCAATTACCCCCAAATTCAATCCCAGCATTCCCTTTGTGATATGGAACCTTGTGATACAATGTCAGAGAGATCCATACACTTACACACAAGTTATTGCCATGAAACTAGAAAAATGCTTGTTTTTTGCCCCTTTTTGGCCCCTAATTCCTAAAATTTGGAGGCAATTACCCCCAAAAATCAATCCCAGCATTCCCTTTGTGATATGGAACCTTGTGGTACAATGTCAGAGAGATCCATACACTTACACACAAGTTATGTCTGGAAGTTACAAAAATGCTTATTTTTGGCCCCTAATTCCTTAACTGTTGGTACCATAACCCCCAAAATCAATCCCCACTTTCCTTTTGTGGTATTGAACCTTATTTTAAAATTTCATTGAGATCCATTCACTTAAACTAAAGTTAGAGTGCGAAAACTAATGTGTCTTCGGACGACGACGCCGCCAACGTCATACCAATATACGACCAAAAAAATTTTTTTGCGGTCGTATAAAAATGAGTTCTTAATTAAGAAATAAACTGATTCGCTGAGCGCAGCTGGATACACCCGCAGAGGTACTACCCTGAACAGCTGGGGCAAAAATGGACACAATATTCAAGCTTGATACAGGTCTGAATTTGGATTGTAATTAAATATTTGACATATTATAGTTTCTGAATAAATGTAGTCAATGAATTTGAAATCGGTTATATGAATTGAATTTATATTCAATTAAAGATTTCTTGCTGTTGTGCAATACTTAATAAATCTGTTGCCAGACTATAAACAAATAAAGTTCAATTTCTTCTCAATGTCATATTTGAAATTTATGAAAATCAATAGGGAGATTACATCAATAGCTATAAATAATTCACCAAAGTTTCATGTGAACTGCTTAAAGCAATTTTGAGTTGTCCAAAAACTGGAAAATCACCCCTTTTTTAATGAATAAAACCCCATAACTCAGAAATGTAAAATCTAAAATTTATAAAATTCTAAAGGAGCTTACGGATTGATAATTTAGTCTTAGATGCAAGATTTTTTTATCAGTTGTTAGTGGCTTTGAACTAGCTGTCAGTAACTGTGAGTACTCTCAGATTTGTACTTAGTGTCTTTTTGTTGTTTGGATGTACAACTACCCGACCACGTCCACTTGTATTTGTATTTATCCATCTGATGAGTTTAGCCTCTTTCAACTGATTTTTATAGTTCGTTCTTATATTGTATTGTTACACCACTGTCCCAGGTTAGGGGGAGGGTTGGGATCCCGCTAACATGTTTAAGCCCGCCACATTCTGTATGTACATGTATGTGCCTGTCCCAAGTCAGGAGCCTATAAAAGTGTAATTCAGTGGTTGTCGTTTGTTTATGTGTTGCATATTTGTTATATTTGTTCATTTTTTTACATAAAATAGGCCGTTAGATTTCTTGTTTGAATTGTTTTACATTGTCATTTCTGGGCCTTTTATAGCTGACTGTGCAGTATGGGCTTTGCTCATTGTTGAAGGCCGTACTGTGACCTATAGCTGTTAATTTCTGTGTCATTTGGTCTCTTGTGCATGTGTGGAGAGTTGTCTCATTGGCAATCATACCACATCTTCTTTTTTATATTTACATCAACAGATATAAAAAATTCACCAAAGTCAAGGTGAGACAAAAAAACTTAGTTGTAAGATCTCTGAAATTTTTTACAGGGTACGAGTTTTTCTCATTGTTGGAGATTGTACGGTGACAGTAACACCTGTAACTGCTTAAACCCATTTCTTATGCACTTTAGTTTGATAAACTCACTGAATATCATACCACATCTCCTTATTTTTATATGCATTACAATTTACATGTGCATGTAATTGTAAATATATATATATCAGAACAAAATTCATTGCGTCACTTTTATTTATGCATCCTTTGGCACAATACAAGTTCTAATATTACACAACATAAAACAACTAAATGTTATTTCAGATGAAAGTTTTGTTTCAGTTCCATTCATAGGATTTATTAGAATTTTGTATGTTTTGCCAAGTCCAATTATTCGCTCTATGTGACATAGAGACATAGTTGACTAAACCACCAGGTGTCGAACATTCAAGAATTTTCAGTGTTTCTGTTTTTATTTGATGAAAAGGTTGCCTGAGCTCTAGGAGCTTTAGGTTTTATCACGGGATATTCTGTGCTGTCAATAATAATCCAAGTCGTAGGAAACTTTAATTTGAAGTTGGATGGTGAAAAATACCTGACTAAACCACTAGATGGCCAAGTGTTAGCCTCACACCACTGTTTAGACATAAAAACAATCCATGTATACACAATATTCTTAACACTAGATTCAATCTAGAATCTAGACAGTTCAAAGTTGGTTGTATGATGCCTCAATTTCATCAAAGTCATAAAAAAACTGATTTTCAACTGACACCCTATCAATTTGAAAATATATGTATCTCAAACAATGTGCTGCTGGACCAAGTGTGGTCAAAACAAATAAAAATTTAGTATACAACTCTAAACCGGTATAAAAATGCATGGCTGTGTCAAGTGTCTTCATTTCAAAATTCTCTGCGGAAAACATAGGCATTGATGGTGTTTGCGTAATTCCATCTGTGAAGCTCGGCAGTTGGTGGTGGACAGTCATAAATCCTTTCTGCAGTATGAATGACTTCTTCAGGAAAACCAACTTTACAATCAAAACTTTCCTCTAGATTTCTACTACAATATTCATCAAGTTTAGTTCTTTTGTTTTCACAGGAAACTGCCCTGATTTTTCTTTTTGCGGACGATTCAGTCTCTTGCTTGGTCCAGGAAAATAGGCTGGGAATTGCAGTAGACTTAAGTCTCTGTATGGTGGGTTTGCGCCCTGAAAAAGGTTATAAAACATTAGTTTTTTTATAATTAAATGAACTTCCATTAGCAATGTATACTTTGTACTACCTGGCGAAATATTAACTAGATTTATTCATTACAATCTGGATAAAACTATGTTTGCCTGATTCAATGTATGTTATGTAAATCCAAAGGACAAACAATGAGAGACTTATGCAGCAAACGTACATTGTTTGTACCTAAATAACTATAATATAGATGAGAGCATGTCATTGTTTTGTTCCTGTTAACATTGTCATTGATATTTTTCAAGAAAGTCTATGAGGCATAGCTTATACATTCCTGTCATTACTACATTAGCATAATTACTGCTAAAATAATTCTCAGTATGATATACCTCTTGTAAGAAATCATTATAATTGTAGCAGTCACCAAAAAATCTCAAACAGATCACATTGAATCGTAATCCAAAAAATTATGACGTCTTGAATTACCCACCCCCTTTTATTCTAAAACGATAATTGCGGTTGTAAACAGACTTTGGTTTATTCGCATGGAGATTACATATATAACTATATATTTCACAAAGAAAATAGAGTTTTACCATGAATAGTTTCTTGCACGTAGTCTTTTTCAGTAAAACGTGCCTTGCAAACAACAGCTGATTGAGATGGACTCCACGATATCATCGTGTTCTCGTCCAATCTGCGTATGGGCCATGGCGTTGATCCAACTTTTCCTTCTTTTTAAGTCATTTGGAAATGCATGTCCTCCTCTTAAATGACATCCAGGTACACAACAACAAGTACTTGGCATCGTTAATTAAAATTATAACTGAAATAGTTGCACAGTGCAGAAACCGGAAGAAGAGGAACAGGATCCGCTACCACGGCGCCACCTATTCAGGAACGATAATTTGCTACTTTATATAACTGCGAAAATAACGTTAGACGGGTTCACGTGCATAAACAGAAATGCGCTTTAAATTGTATAATATAATTCATGTTCAGTCGACCTTTAATTATTATATCAACGACTGAAATGATTTATAAACATCTAGATTGCAGATAACACTCGAAATTAACCCGAGCTCTTTCCACACGGAATTCAAATAATTCTAGTTTGTCAATCGGTTGACTGCTTATAATGCAAAATACTAATATATCAAAAGTTTTTAAAACTAACAAAACACAATGATCGTTTCTCTATTTCCCAATGTAAATGAAATGAAACAAAAAACATTTTATATCGCAATAAGAAGAGGAGAGAATTCAACATTTCCGGATCTACTTGGAGTCTAATGACCCCCCACGTAGATAAGTTGGATATCGCGGAAGGAAGGATTAACCCGGCAACTAGAAAGGCATTAAAGCACTGCCTTTAAAAATTATAAACGAAGCTGGCAAAACTTTCTGCAAATTTGATATTATTTTCCCAAGAATAATACATAAAAGGGAATAACAGGATAATTTCCCCAAATACCACACAGTACAACAGACAACATTAACCACCAAAACCTTACTCCTCTGAAGAAAAAACTTGATATCCAAACAAAGACAATAAACAACAGATGGTCTAGATAGCCTGACATGAAACAGACACAAACAAGTGAAACTGTGAGCTACTGCTCACTGATGATACCCCTGCCCAAATACTTGACGGTAAACAGGAAGTTGTTGAGTGATTAATCTGAAAATGCATCACACGGTATAGCTGACTTACATAAAACCTGAAACCAAATTTCAGAAATCCTTACAATGTAGTTCCTGAGAAAAATGTGACGAAAATTTTCAACTTGGATGTCATGTGTAAAATGATGTAAGTGTTTGGTAAACAGGAAGTTGATTAAAAAAAAAATGAGGAAAGAGTAGACAAAATATAAAAAAAATTTTAAAATGTATACCTTTTTTGAGTACTGTAAAATGATAATTTGTAAACTACCTGTATTGTCTTCTGCAACAATTGATGTACAAACTGTAAAGACTTCATAAAACAAATTGTAGATAATTACTTCCCCTGAAATATAGAATTATCTCCCTTAGTATTACTTTAAAAAAAAGTTGAATGTTTTCCAAAAAACAGAGTATTATTAGATAATGTCATCTCAATATATTATTAGTTCCTTTGATTTTAAGAAGAAGAAAGTAAGACAGCTGAAATGAGAAGGAGTCATCCAATTTTAAATTCATTTCTTTGTTTAAACATGTTAAATTGGACCACAAACTACAAAAAAGTACATGTAACAGGCTATTATTTTAACTTGGAATTACTTTCAATTATGGAATTTCCATAATTTCTTGTGCTTGAAATTTTTAATAAATTCCATGTTTATTCTGTATTATAATGTTTTGAGCGGTGCATAACACTCTCCATACAATGTATTTTGTATAGAAAGTGTTGTGCGCCGCACAGTACATTCTATTGAAAATGTGCTATCTTCTTTGTAATAGAAAGTGTTGTGCGCCGCACAGAACATTAAAATACAGAATAAACATGGAATTTATTAAAAATTTCAAGCACAAGAAATTGTGCTAATTCCATAATTAAAAATAATTCCAAGTTGAAATAATAGCCTGTTATGTGTACATCCAGTTTTGGACCTGAATTTTGCAGTATTTAATATATAAATTCTTTGTGACTTGTATCAACCTACAAATAATGAGAACATTTTTATCTCAAAGAAAACAACGAAAAAGGAATTAAGAAAGTTTCTCTTTACACTATTCAAATTTCCTTTTGCTTTTTAAATTTGATCTGAATGTGGCCTTTGCGACAAACACCGATGCATTTTATACTACTGTGGACTCATTTATTTTTGTTTGTATCAATTTTTGTGGATTGAAGAAAAAACGTATTCTCCTAAATATTTGATTTAGTGGTTTTGCAAAAGTTTGTATACAAGCCTTTAGAAAATTTATACTTCCTTGAACATTTAAATTTGTGGTTTTTATGAACCCACATAATCAAAGCAAATTGGTACCCCACAAATATTAATGAATCCACAGTATTGTTCATTAAATAATACCTAGTCCTAGTCCAGAAGCTGTTGCAATACCTCTCATCTCATCAGCATATGGTTGTGGTAAAGTGGTGTCCATGCTTTCCTGATAAATAATGTAAAATGTTTAAAAAAATTATTTGAATATTGAATCACAATAAAAATTCTACATTTACTTCTTGTGAAACACATGTTCATTCCTCCTTTGACATTATGAACAGATACATCATGTTAAGGAGGGGTATTTGCGAAAAATACCAGTCGAGAGAATGTTTAATTTCGCGAGCCGTAAGGCGAGGGAAATTCATTCTCAAGACTGGTATTTTTCGCAAATACCCCTCAAGAACATGCTATATCTGTTTAATTACACCGAATGTTAACGTACAAAACGCATTGATGATCGTGACATTACAAGCGTCCAGTCGGATAGAGTATAATATTTTTTGGCAAATACCACGGCAGAGAGGGTAAAAAAGGCATATCCTTTTTGCATATACCCCGGCGCTGTTTAAAAATGAACAATATTCGTTTGATAAAAGTAAATTGGTGAAAAATACACTGGCTATCAACCAATCAAAACCCAGGATTCTTACATAAGGTGTAATTATAACATAAAAATTATAACAGGAAAATAGTTACACGGTTTGGTCCTAACTACAGCCATAAGGTTGAAACTTAATCAGGAATGGTTTATCTTTCCAGTTTTTGGTTGTTCTGGTTAGGCCATTTTGGTTTTAATGCCTTTAAACATTTTGTTTGCTTTTCACATGTTTTTGTCTCGACTGTACCCAATTATTGTTATTCCTGAAATGTGTCATGTAACCAGTAATTAGCACCCTCTCTTCTTTTGTTTTTTTTTTAGAAAAAATGAACATTTGGTTTTTACTATAGTTTATACAAAGATCTATTAATTCTGAAAAGTGTATAAACAGTTTCTATTTGAATCAGAATCTTATGTAAAAACATTTTTCAGAAACATTTCAATTATTTATAGAAAATTTAAAGGTGCTACATGTACCTATTTCAATCTAAATTCAGTCCAGAGTAAATCTACATCTTTTTAAAAGAGACAATGCTTTTATTTCTAATGGAACTAGATATCAAAATATTTTGTTCATATTGTTTGATCCTAACAACAGACTGTGACCCTAAAACTGTTCCCTTTTTGAGAATAGAATGGCCTTTGTGTAAAACAAATTAAAAACAGTTTCCTTGACATGGTAAATGCATCTATTTTATAATAAATACCCCTTGTTTGTTGAGGTAGTTGATTACTGCATTTACAGTCCCATTGCCAAAGTCTTCAGCAAACTCTATAAACTTTTTTAGCAACATTTTTATCTGAAAAATAAAAGGAATGTACAAAAATTATACATGTATTCATGTAAGTGTAAAAATGTATACCAAATAACTTATTTATCAATATTCTCATTCAGAATTATCGATAATCATCATAATATCAGATATATTTTCAATACGTCTAATGTAAGAACATACATAATTTAAAGGAGCATATGCTTTAATTGAGAATTGTATTGACATCAAGATTTTTATAATGAAGACATATATTCAGATGATATCTAGCTTCATAAAATAAAAATCCTTAGAAGTTCTTCCCTTCTTTAGAGCTAATAAAAGTATGTTGTTGTAGAATATTTAAAATTAGAATTCTATAAAGATTGAAATGCTTTATTCCTGTATGCTGAGAGAGAAATGTGTTACTATATACATGTTAAGGAAAATCAGTAAAAAGTGAAGTTATCTCCCATTGAACATTAATATTTTTAGGCAAACTTTTATAAATATTTGTGAACAATTTAAAAAGAAAATATTTCTATTTCACATCATGCACATTTTGACTTTTAGCAAGCATATTATTGCTTATATCTTTTTTTCCAGTTTAGATGTCAGAAATGTTGATGCTTATGTGTTCAATGTCATTGAGAATATATACATGAACTTGTATATCTAAGTATCTAGGTTATTTTTGTGTAGGCTTTTCTTAGCTGTATTAATAAAGCATATTGTCTATATTCTAGCTGAGTTTATAATTGTTGATTGACAATGCAAAGCAAATGAATGGTGACATTATTCTAGTGCTTTCTTCGCATTGAAATGTGGATTGCAAATATAGCAAACATCAGCCATACATCATGTACATAACAAATTCCTGATAAATGTATAAAGTTTATATATATTTCTTTCAAAACTGATGGCAACTTACCTGACTTCCTTTATTCTTTGCTAAATTCTGCCATCTTTGTATTGGTGGAAGGTCAAGATTTAGAACATATGTTGGAACAAGATGGCTATGTGAAAGAAAAAAATATCTTAATATATATAATTCCATAAGTTTTTTTGTCAAATCTAATTAGCAGGGAATATTCAACTTATCACATTCTTGAATGAATCACAGAATATTGAGGCTATATAAAATGAAGCAAACCCATAAATAATTCTATGTTTTAACTATGCTCCCATCACTATAAATTTAAGCATCTGTGTTTAGTGAGTTTTTTGTGCAATTAACGATACACAATCTGGTTAATTTGCAGGTTAAATAATCCTTTACAAAATTGGAATGAGAAAACTTTAAATCTCTATTCATATTTTATAAATGCCAATAAAGTCTTTTCAGAGATTGATGTAATATTTTTTAAAAATGTAGTTCTCTCTTGCATATAGTCTTAATATCTTATTGAGTAACCCATACCTTTTTTCAGATGGAGGGTAGGCATTGGTCACACAAGTTTCTTTAAACTGAAAAAAAATAACAAAAAGCTCCTGCATAATTAGTTCCACAAAAAAGACAATTTTAAATTCATAAATAATAAAGTCAATATGCAAATGTGTTTGCCAAAAGATTTGACATCATTATATAATAATAATAATAATAATTGAGAAAATATTTTCTTGGATATTTAATTTTGTGGTTTTGCCAAAGTCTGTGCATTATATAACTAGCCTATTGAAATTTGTACTTTGTTGAACACTAAAATTTGGGATTAACTAAAAACCATAATACATAAATTGTATTGTACTGTATTGTTTCACATGGATACAAAAGGTGGTTCTTAAAGCAGTGTTATATTAACTGAGTGGATAGAATAAAATAAAGTGCAGGTAGTTTTTTTTTCATCTTCAGAAGTCATGTAAAATATGATTCTCAAATTCCCTAAACATTTCACATTTTCTGGAACACAGATATCGTTTAACTCTTTGCTATAAAATAAAATTCAGGTATATTTTTATTATTATCTTCAGAAGTCCTGAAAAAATGAATCTCAAATTCCAAAAACATTTTACATTTTCTGGAACACAAATAGAGTTTAACTCTTTGCTATAAAATAAAATTCAGGTTTTGTTTTATTATTATCTTCAAAAGTTCTGAAAAAAATAAATCTCAAATTCCCCAAACATTTCACATTTTCTGGAACACAAACAGTGTTTATCTCTTTGCTATAAAATGAAATTCAGGTTTTTTTTTATTATTATCTTCAGACATGTCAGAAGTCCTGAAAAAAATGAATCTCAAATTCCCCAAACATTTCACATTTTCTGGAACACAAATAGCGTTCAACTCTTTGCTATAAAATAAAATTCAGGTTTTTTTTTATTATTATCTTCAGAAGTCATGAAAAAAATGAATCTCAAATTCTCCAAACATTTCACATTTTCTGGCACACAAATAACATTTAATATTATATATCTAGGTCCTGCCAGGTTGCAAAACTTTGCAACTAACAGGTTTGTTGAAAAACAAAAAAAATAATGTCAATTTTCAAAACTGTGAGTTAGATACCTTGTGTTGTATTTTAAAGGTATAAAGGTATTTTTTTATTCACAGATATGTGGCTGTGCCTTACTGTGCCTGTGGGAACAAAATCTGATTAGTTTTTACAGGATTTTTTTAGTATACTCAGACAAGTACAAAATTATAGTATCTAATACGACGTGTAACATGAATTTATGAAATGCTTAAAGTACCGGCGGCACCTGTGCTTGTACAAAAACAATAACCATAAACACTGAAACTACAGCTGCCTGCTTCATTGTCAGACCCTTGTCATGTGATATTGTTTTTTACGATAGAGTAACTTCCCTTTTCCTGCCGATAACAATTTCCTGTTAACAATCCGGTGACATAAAAAAATATTGTTGATTTTTAAGTTTCTGATTAGATTCTGAAAATGTCTCAGGTATTTTTTAATAGTTTATAAGACAGTTTTATTCCCTTGATAAATGAGAGAATTTCAAGTGCACAGGTTTACACAGATTCAGTGAAAACCCGAGATAAAAATAATTAAAAAATCAGCGGGTCCTCTCAGTGTCGCACTTAAATTTGTTTTCACAAAGATAGTAATCAATACATGTACACAAATTGGAGTGACATACGATCAAATATGTGATCATTATTAAATTTTTTAATTAAAAAAGTCACTTTTTGCATGATGAGGAATTTAGCTATTTTGCACCATTAACAGTGACCATATGTTATCATGGTTATTCATTTGTTCAATTACTCATGGTCAGTTGTTGATATACGATGCAGTTCGGTAAATCCGCCCACATAAGGCTTTGACCGTATGTATTTTTGCTTAATTATATACAAATTGTATCAAATTTAATATAAATCGATTCACTGACAAATCAACTTTGAGTAGTTTATCTCATTTCCCCAAAAATATCTGAAATAAATTTTAAAATCAACAAAACAAGTAGGTCTTCTGTGTTTTTATCAGAAATGTGTCTGTCCGATTAATCCGCCCATGCGCAGTAACCATGGTAACTATGTATGGAGGGCCAGTTTATCGCAAATTTATGAAAGGAAAAGGTGATCTATTAATAGACCACTTACAAAAAGATTCCAGACAATCCAAAAAAAAATTTCAAGTCAGAAATGAGCTTTAGGAACTGTATAATATATATAAATAGATATTTTTCGTAATGAAGGATTTTTCTTTAAAATTTGACATGCAGTGATGATAAGTACAGTTCCTATGAATAAAATAGCAAACGAAATATTCAGGGAAGTGACAATTATGGAAGAAATGGGAGTGGGCGGAATTACCGGACACTACTCCACCTCCTCATACTGCATGGGCCTAAGACAATTAACCTTATCGCTATTTGGGAATCTGCGACACTTGACCAGATAACCTGCGACACATTTAACGTCATACAACAACGAATAACTTTTCCTTTTTGGCATCAAAATTTTACGGGAACTTTTGTGATGTCCAGTAATGGTGGACAAATAGCGATAAGGTGTATGTTATATATGCAATTTCATCACAAAGTTAATAAGAAAATTTCAAAAATTTCAGTATAAATACACATTCTTTTGATGGATTTCAAATCCTGAGACTCGTTAAAAATGCTCTACCGATAGTCTAGTACTGAATGAAAAAAATTGTGGTATATCATGTATATATATCTAAACGCCAAAGTACACAATATACACTTGTCCAAAGGGAGAATGGAAATTCATCCTGACCATTTCTACTGATACAAGCCTGTTTAAAACAATTCTGATTTTCAGTATCATAAATCTTTTCCTCCATGAAACTGAATTAAATATTATTAATGACCACATGATGATCCTTAAAAAAAGATTGACTGTAAAATGTATGTTGGTTTATGTTTTGGTGAGGAGGGGGATACATATATCATATCTTGTGGTGCATCTGTTTATTCCATTTAAAGGTTGACAAGCAGCATGAAGAGAAGGTTTATCACATTTGTTGTTGCAATGACTGTAGCCTACATGGATGAACATCTGTGTGGTATTTACATTCCTTCTAAATGGCCTTCAAATGAAATTTACTATAAGTACATTTATAAAAATGTTTTACTTGTTTACAGACTTACGAATTTAATATGGAAATGACATGTGAAGGTTGTGCTAATGCTGCTAAAAGAGTGCTTGGAAAACAGGGTGGTAAGTTAACAGGTCCACATATAATAACTTTCATCTGATGTAATAATTATAACAATAACTATTTATCATGTTTATAGGTACAAAGTATGGTATTTAGATGCATTTAAAACATATTAAATATATACTGTCATGACTGTGAATTCTGCGATTATTGTGTGCCTTTCCTATTGTGATTTTTAAAGAATGGACAAAAAAATTCAGGAAAATCTGCATACAGATATATGTAACAAATTCAGAATGTGAGTTCTTATTATTGCAATACTCATGCATCCAGTCGCATTATTCACATTAATAAAAACCTTGCAAAAATTTCTGAATTTAAATTACTTGTATTATTAAAAAAAATAATGTTATATATATCTTAAATTATCTTGCAGTCTTCAAAAATTAATTGACTCACAAACATGTATTTTGCAGCAAGTTATGTGTTACAAATAACAAAATTATGTTATAAACATTAGCTTCATCAACTTATTTTCTTCAGTATTGTGGGATGCATGAATAGTGAACTGACATGTAACTGCATATAAATGACCTTAATACTGGAAGTAAATCAAAGTAATTTACATATTTATTGTAGAGCATGTACAGAGAGTTGTTTGTGAATATTCATTTGCCTATGTGTTTAACCTTCAGCTAAAATTACTTTAACTACCTGTGTGAACTTCTAAAACTTTCATTTTTTTCAGTGAAATTTATTGAGAAGTTATGTAGTGGCCATTACAATTTTTTCAGACAAACAAAAAACGAATAATTGCAACAGTGTGAATTTATGAATAAATGTGTCATGTGTGTCTTTAAATAGATCAATATTAAGAATTTTGACTTTAAACACATTTTGACTGAAAATTTGGTGAAAGGTGGCCAGAAACATTGTTTCTAACCCAACTTTTACTATAAAGATAAACGTGAAACAAGAACAAAAACTTAAATTTGTTAGGATGGTACGATGCATATTATATGTGGATGAAAGTTTTTTGAGAAAAAAAAAATCACATTTTTTTTTTAGATAAAGTGACTGAAGTGGTTACTGATGTTCCAACGAAAACAGTGACAGTGACATCTACACTGTCAGCTGATGAAGTATTGGAAGTGTTGAAGAAAACAAATATTGCAGTGTCACTCAAAGGTTAAAATGGTTAAGTTTAAATGTTTAAGGTAAATATGATTAATAAGCAATTGACATGATTGATAGAGGGGAGTTTTAATTTGGATATGCCTACTCCCCTCTATCAGTTACATCAATAACACTAATTTGACCAAGAAAATAAAAGATGGCATACATTTTGGATGTAGATAAATACAAAGAAGTGTCAAATTGTGCTCTCTATAATTCTATAATTAAATGCCACATATATGTTTGGTAAGACAATCATGAATTTACAAATACATGTACAGACACACTACCAAAATATATTACAGTAGTTGTATATTACAGTAGTTGTATATTACAGTAGTTGTATATTACAGTAGTTGTATATTACATGCTACCTTATTGTTGAGATCAGAGACTGTAATTTAATTTATGTAAGTATTATAACTTCGTATCATTATTATGCTACTGTTTATTCATTGATTTTTGTGGGAACCAATTTTCATGAATTGAGTAAAACTTACATTTTCATGGTTATTGATTTTATTGTTTTGCAAAAGTCTGCATACATCATGTACATTGCTATGGAAAATTTGTAAATTGTGGACATTTAAATCTGTGGTTCCACTGTAGCAAAGAAATCCACAAAAATTGTTATACCACGTATACTAAAGAATCCACGGTATATTGTATGCAATACATCTCTGTTCAGTCTAGTAGACATAGTTTCACTTTGAATATACATGTTTTTCTATATACACAAAGCGAAGAACTAACCAATTTTTTATTTTTCATTATAGAGTGTTGAAGATAATGGTGGTTAGGTGCTATGGATACAAAAAAAAAAACCCGGTATTTTATTTATTCCAGACATGAATAAATACAATATTTAATTTTATTACACTAGGTTGCACATTGTACATCCAATTATCATTACATATACATATATATTACCTACATGTATTTTAATTAGCCTTCATGTAAAGATACACATTCTAGTACCATGAGTACTGTAATTTCAGAAATTTAGGAATTATTAAAATTGTGTTTTAACGAAGAGGGTCGTATAAAAATTTATGCGAAGTTTTACTTATGAATAAAATGAGATAAAGGTAGTTTGAGGTTTTTTTGTTTTTTTTTAAATTTCAATTGATTTCTTCAATGTTAAGCTAAAAAAATTATAGAGTTTCAAGAAATGAAAAAATAATGTAAAATGACATATTTTTTTGCTTATTTAAATAACCATCACTGGTCAGACATTTTTTCTGGCATATAAAAAAAAATACATGCATTCTTCTAGCTGCTATCACTGAAATAGATTTTACTGCCTCTTGTCACATTATGAACATGTACCAGCATATTTCAATAGAAAAAAATAAGACCAAACGTTCTTATAGGTAAACAAATTTTTGTAATTTTTTTAGAAATTTTGAAATCATGTCTAAAATCACTGTTGTACAATATCTTATCAAATGTACTGCATAGCATGGACTATCTATTGATTGGCTACTAAAATATTTTCTTGACTACTTGTTGGCTAGTTACAGGTATTGGTTATTGATTTTGCATTACGATGCTATTGCTAATTTTTACAGATTCACAAATAACACATGAAAAAGTTTTGGTTAAAAAGTGAGCATTTATATATGTTAAGCAATGTGTATTTAGAAATAAAAAAAAATCTCAACAAGGTTTTGTTTCAAATGCTATTGTCATGATTGTAATAACTTTAATAAAATACTGATTGTTTTAATTTGTTGAGTTAATTAACTCAGAAGTATTTTAAAATTAGTGACATACTAATTATACTGAAAAATGTAAATGTTTTTTTTTTAGGTTGAAACAATTATATTATGTACTATAAAATGCTTTATTTGAAATTTTCGTGGAAAACATTACAAAATGTATTTTTTAAGTCAGTTGTAGATAAGTAATGAAACCATATAATGATGTAATAAGATTTATATTTTGTCATATAATTGCTGAGCAATGTATCAAGTGTTTTCTATTATTGTTTATGGAGTGATGTTTGTCATGTACTAGTATTCTCATAAACATTTTTCTGAAAGAACATTTTATAATCTAAATAATTCTTTACAAATCATTTAAATATTTGATACAATATTAGTGAGTGGGTATTGCTTATTTACTTCATTTAAGCATTAGAAAAATTCTGTAAACCTTGATACTTTCACAAGGGAGTTATAATTTTGTGAGTAAGCAAACTGTTCAAAATATCCCCTTGGCAAATAGATGGTGTGAAGTGTGCACTTTTCATTCGATGAACTAAATTTTTAACCAATCATGAAATGGTTCTGCATGGAAGCCGCTAAAAATAACAACCACTAAAAATATCCATATTTAGATTAAAGCAGGTTGTTACTTTTTCCTGTTCTCTCCAGACTTTTGAGACTCAATTATTCCAATGATAACTTTAAACATTTGTCTATGACTTTGACAAACATGAAATGCTTGCTGATATGTTCTTTAATCTGTACATTATTTTGTAATTGTATCATTTTTAGTCGTGATCTGAAGAAACTTTTCAAATTTATTGAATATATTGGTGGTTATTTTGTTCATACTATGTATTAAATTGGGCAAAAAATAAATTGTTTTATTACCAAATTCTGTATTTTTGTTTATTTTCTTATCTGTTGGGATAGACTAATTTATAGGCTCTGACAGGTCTGTATTATATACCTGTTGATCTATATCTTAATATCCTGTTGACCAGTGAGCTACTGACTGGTTTTTGTTTCTAGAGTTCCATACTTAAGGGGGTGCGAGTAGTTGGTTTTGGACCCACTTAAAAACAAAAAAAACACTAAGCACTATTAAATATAAAAGTAAGGAGATGTGGTATGATTGCAAATGAGACAACAACCCAACATATTTAAATGTTCAGATGACAAGGATATAAGCAATTATGTATAATCAGCTATAAAAGACCTCAACTTGAAAGATGTTAATAATTCAAATGAGAAAACTAACATCCTTATTTATAACAAAACAATTTACAAAAGACAAATATGACAAACATGAACCAACGACAACCACCCAATTATAGGCTCCTGATTTGGGACAGACACAAAAAGAATGTGGCGGGGTTAAACATGTTTGTGAGTGCTCAAACCTCCCCTAGCCTGGGACAGTGGTGTAACAACACGACAAGAGAACAAACTGTTAAAATCTTAATAATGAACACACATTCTGTCCTCATTGAAAAAGACAAGAGTTACTCTGTCACTGGTCCCTCTGGGAATTTATTTGTTCAGTGTGAAGCCAAAAAATTGATTTGCTCAAGTATTAAGATACCAGATTCCTCACTTCATGTATAACAATCACTTTAGAAATCACTTTTCATTTCTTTAAACAACATTGTTTCATTCAAAAGTTTCAGCTGATTGAAAAAATAACAACTGCAGTGCCTAGCTTATTGTGGAAGACCATTAAGTAACCTATGCTTGCTCATCTTCTACGTCAATTGGTCTCTGGTGGAGAGTTGTCTCATAGGCAGTCATACCACATTTTTTTTTATTTTTGTCGAGCCTGAGAGATCTTAAAAATGTTAATTTTATGTGATACTTTTAGTAAAACCTTTATCTTGAAGACTTTCAACATAAAATCAAAGGTCAGTAAAGCAGGCGAGACATTTTCGTGTGCACTCTTGTTTATGATATTTCGGAATGTATTTCTGCCGAAATTCAGTCATACTAGTATTATTACATGCATATACATTATCACGTTCATTACATAAGGTACATATACGATTGGTTCTAGGGATGTACCATCTGCCAGTTTCTATAGGACTTTTAAGATTGCATGTTCTCAGGTTCGAAATCCAGATTCTTTTATTGTCTGGAAGACAGAGTAAATAATTTTCAAGACCAAACTGAGCTTATGATATTAGCCTCGAGAAGAGCTATCAATATTACTAAACCACTGTTGAAGAATCTGTATTATAACAGGTGTAATAGTTAGGTAAAAAATAACATAATCATGAGTTGTCAAATATAGATTACACAATTGACACACATTGTGAAATCTATATTTGACAACTCGGGATTAGGTAATGTTTTTAATTTAAATTTAACAAAACTTGGCCACAATCATCATTGGGTTATCTATTTTAAATTATGTGTCTGATGGCCCCGCCGGCCAAACAAGATGGCCGACATGGCTAAAAATAGAAAATAGGTGTAAAATGCAAGTTTTGTCAATTATTTTGAAGACCACTATAAATAGAAAAAATCAGGGGCAAAATGCTCAGAATGTTGAGCTCTACCTTTTGTTCATGTACATCAAAACTGTCAGACGAGTTCTTTTAGAAGTTATTGCCCTTTGATGAATTTTACCATTTTTTAACATTTTTGCCTAATATCTCGAAAATTATAATAGAAAGGCAGAAACTTTTTATTCGCAAAAATGATCAGCAAGACAAGATCTACAAATGAGTCAAACATGGCGGAAATCTTCAGTTGACTCCTTATTAGAGTTATTGCCCTATAATGACGATTTTTACCATTTTTTGCGTTTTTGCCTAACATATATATAACTATATATTAGATAGATAGAAACTTTAAATAGCAAAAATGATCAAAAAGACAAGATCTACAAATGGTCATCTTGACCGAAATTATTTGTTGACTCCTTATTGAAGTTATTGCCCTTTAGGAACAATTTTTCCCATTTTTGCCTATTATCTTGAAAACTTTAATAGATAGATAGAAACTTTAAAAAGGAAAAATGATTAGCAGGATAAGATCTTCTGTACAAATATGTCAAACATGAATGAAATTGTCAGTTAACTCTTAATAGAGCTATTCCCCTTTAATGCTGTTTTTTTTTTTTTACAAAAAAGTGGCCATTGTAGAAGATGCAGGTTAGCAACACATGCTCTTTGGAGCCTCTAGTTAGCCATTCTACTCCAAAACGATAACATTCTCAATTTTACATTTATTTCTAGTGGGAACCTTCCGCAATAAGTCAACTGTATCTGATGTATGGAAATATTACAAGGTTTACATATCTGTCAGACAGGGTTCATCTGAGCTTGACCTTTATTTGAATGGTTTATTAGTCAGTATTAAATTAAGTTTTCTTAAGTCTTTTTCTCAGATATAAAAAAAAAAACATAAAGCCAGTAGTTCGGAGGTTGTTGGTTGCAACCTGCCGTATTCCTATTTCAATTCGTATTTTTAGCTTAAATCATTTTGATACAGTATAATGTATTCTCTGACATTTTTCCCCCGTGATAACAGTTAACCAAACCGTCCTGCATGGCGACGTAATAATTTCAAAGATGCAACTTCAATTTTAGCATGAGGATCTTTTGGTTTAGTATCTTCCTTGAAAGCAGCATCCATATTACCATACCAAGAAAATCGAGATATGACACAAAAACTAGGATATACATCGTAACAAATGAGAAAAACTTATTATTATATGGTAGTATGGATGTCTTATATATTTGTACTCATTTGACTTTATCCGATATTTGCACTTACGCGACACTATTATATAATTTTGTCTTTGTCTGAAACTATCTGTCTATGTCATTATGTATCTTATCAATCAAGCTGTCACTTATTTTTGATTCTGTGATTAAATTTGGTATAGTATATTGAATGTTTGGTATTTCTAGCAAACCTTGAATGCTGAAAATTTGGTATAAGAGTAAAAGTTACTAAATGTTCGACCTTTCTTGAAATCCCTGAATACTAAAAGCTTGGCGGAATAAAAACAAATAAAGCATTTCTTAGGCATTAATGTTTTATGTACAGGTAGTCTCAGTTGGCATTGATATATTGAAGACTCTTTTGGATGTAGGTAGTCTCATGGGTGTTAGCGTGCTGGCCTCGAGTGCGAGAGACCGTGGGCTTATACCCAGGACGGGTCAAACCAAAAACTTGATTGTTTTTTCCGCTTCTCTGCTAAGCAAGCGTCATTTAGGAGTAAGAGTCGGATGAATGGGCGACCCACAATCAGGATAATGTATCCAGGTACTGGTGGGGTGATATGTCTTCTACGGACCATTTCTTTTTGTAATAGCTCGTTTAATGTCCAGCTCAGTATGTTGGTCTTTTACAAAGCAGGGTGCAGGATTCTAATTCACACCACAAACCATTTTCTAGTCCTAATGTGATTGTAATATTTGCCACTTGACATTTAACACCAATTCCTCCATCCATCAGGGGAACATCGAGGTTATCTTTAGCTTAGTTGTGTCCTCAAAACTAAGAAATGATCTTATCCACTCTGCATACATTGGCAACATTGATATTTTTCTCAGAATAACACCCTTTTCATTTGTTTCAGGGCACATCTTGGTCATTGCTAAATCTAATTAAAATATCGATCAATCTTAACTTGCATTTTTATGATTATAACAAAATCAGAGATATATATATTTCAATTAAATTGGGTCATTGGAAGTTCGCTTGCATAGTAAATTGCATGTACTGACGTGCATTTTACATAAGATGTTCCATGACTAAATGATTTTTAACATAGTATTTGCATCGTTAGTAGATTTTGTAAGTTTACACTTTAACAGAGTAACCTGTGGCAATTACGTTTACAGATTGCTTTAAACTATTACCAGAATGGCAATGCTTGAGTCTTGCATCTATAGCTGGGGTAGTCAATTTACCCTTAAGTCATACAGTTGGCCATATCTGTAATATTTTTTCTGTCTATTTGAAATAACCTTAAAAATGTGGTGCACACTTTTAAATAACCCGCTACGCTGGTTATTCAGTGTACACCACATTTTTTATGTTATTTCTTCATAGACAGAAAAAATATTACAGTCATTCCTTAAATAATATATAACCCCTTGATTTCTCAAATATCAACCATTTTCTCTACAGAGGCTTTCAATATCTACTTATCTAGTCTGTAGAGAAAATGGTTGATATTTGAGAAATCAAGGGGTTATATATTATTTAAGGAATGACTGTAATATTTGTTCTGTCTATGAGGAAATAACATCAAAAATGTAGTGTACACTGAATAACCAGCGTAGCGGGTTATTTAAAAGTGTGCACCTCATTTTTAAGGTTATTTCAAATAGACAGAAAAAATATTACAGTCATTCCTTATAATTTAATTCTAAATTCTATTGTTAAGAAGTAAATCATGAAAAAAAAACGTTGATGAAGTCACGGTCACATGACAAAATTATGTCTATGAGATGATAGACATAAAACGTTCACCCAATCAGAAGACGTGTTACATCCAAAATTAAATTAGATACAAAAGGTAATTACGTCAGAATTAATGAAACTTTAAAACCGTAATAAGAAACTTCAAACAGATCCACGAATCTAATGTCTATAAATAGTATAACTAGGTGATAATTTGTTTACGGGGGAAAGCGGACATGGGAACACAACGATAATATATAATAAAAATTCTCCGATTTTTCTCAGCGTGTATGATCGTTTGAAGAACCTTTTATTTTGATATATAGCATTGTCTGATGTACATCATACTATATTGTAAAGGCAGCGGTTTCTATAAAAAACTCAAATTGAAATAGTAATTCTAACTGAAAAAATAACTCGAAATGCGAGTTGAACTCGAAGTTTAACTCGAAACGCAACTCGAACTCTACCTCGAAC